CTGCTGTATTGTGGTCACTGTACATCTTTTGCATTGCTCTGTTTGTAATTACTTTCTTAATCTGTGATAGACTGCACTCAACATCTCCTTTAAAGGCAGATTCTTTGGCTAACTTATCAGCTCTATCATGCATTCGGAGACCACATGAAATGGACTCTGTTACCATCTTTAATAATTTTGTTGTATATGATCAACCATAAGTACAGTTTCTGAATTAAACCACTGACTTAAAATAAATTCAGCTTTGATATTCCAAGAGTACGACTTAATCAAACTAGAAATGCTCTACAAATCAAGGGACCCAGAATGTGGAATGACCTTCCCAAACATGTTAAAGACTGTACCTCTCTCAACCAGTTTAAGATAAAAACGAAACACTGCCTAATAAATTCCCTGTAACCTACCTTACCCCTCTATTGTCAACCCATGTCTGTTTTCTTAAACGACGCTGTTTGTCGACCTAATTGTATTTGTGCTGCTTTTTTAGCCATGTTTCCCCCTTTTTTATCTGTATTTTTATTTGTTCTCAACACATTTTATTCTTTATACTCAATTAGTATTAAGTTTTAGTCATTAATGTTTTTCCTGCCCGAAACGCTTTGCGTAATAGTGGCTTTAAATCAAAATCAAATCAAATCAAATGTTTATTTAGGTAAGGTACATACATACAAGAGATTTTACAAAGAGTGATGGATTTATAGATAGGGCTAGTACATACAATGCCTAAAGCCATTATTACGCAAAGCGTTTCGGGCATGAAAAACTTAAATGACTAAAGCTTAATACTAATTGAACATAAAGAATAAAATGAGTTGAGAACAAATAAAAAAAGAGATAAAAAAGGGGGGAACATGGCTGAAAAAGCAGCACAATTACAATTCTGTTGACAAACAGCGCCATTTAAAAAAAACAGACATTGGTTGACAATAGAGGTGTAAGGTAGGTTACAGGGAATTTATTAGGTATAGCTTCGTTTTTATCTTAAACTGGTTGAGAGAGGTACAGTCTTTAACATGGAAGGTCATTCCACATTCTGGGTCCCTTGATTTGTAGAGATTTCTAGTATGATTAAATCGTACTCTAGGAATATCAAAACTGTATTTATTTCTGGTGTGGTGCTCATGGGTTCTGTTACAACCTTCTATGAAGCTTTTGAGGTCAGGATTGGCATTACAGTTCAGCGTTTTATATATGTATAATACACATGAGAGAATGTGCAGTGACTTAATATCTAACATATTCAGAGATTTGAGTAGGGGTACCGAGGCATTGTATGTACTAGCTCCATCTATAAATCGATCAATTTATGTAAAATCTCTTGCATGTTTGTACCTTACCTGAATATATATTTTATTTTATTTTATTTTACATATGTGGAGAGCTAGTGTCACAATTGATATGTTTGTTCTGCACACCGCCATCTATTCAGTGGGCAGCGGTGGATATGTTACAATCACTTAGTTACTACCTACAGTTAGCAAACTGGGGATGTTTGGCCAAGATTTCTGGTAGCAGATCATTTTGAATTAAATATTTACACATCTCTGGAACATTTGCTATAGAATTTTCTCTGAATTCACGTATCTTTTCGCACTCCAGCAGAGAAAACAAAGATACTAAATCGGTGCCCACCCAGGCAGGGAGGAGCTGTTCGCAAGATGCAACTGTATTATTGATGGCTTGACTATGTTAACAGATTTAAATACCTTGGCCTTGATGTGCCGCTGTTTGGTTCTGTTTTATTCAGACTCTGCCGTCAGTGTAATGAGAGGCCCAGATCTCTCAAGGCTTATGCAGGTTATCACTCAGGCTATGGTGCCAATGTTAGAATAGTCAAAATGATATATCTTGCATACATCAGATCTTTAGTGGATTATGCTGCACTTCTGCTTGTCTTGATGCCTGAAAGAAAGTGTAGCGTACGATTATGTTATGTTGTTGGGAAGATTGGATACACGGTGTTTAGTGGGTTTTCATATTTATTCAGTAGTCTTGGATACAGCAGTGTCGTAGACGTTGAGACGGAGCTTGGAGCAGAGCAGAGAGCTGAGTGAGGTTGGAGTCGTGGAGCTCTATGTGGGAGAGCGTTGTAGCTCGATGCGGTCCTAGTCTGCTGTCTGTTCTGTGTCGAAACTGTAGCGTCTTGGGGTCGATTAGAACTGCATACGCCGAGTGCTACATTCTTAACTGTGGAAATTGTACCATTGGCTATTCTCATATCGCTTGCTTATATTCGGTGACTACATCTCAGCTTCCTCCACTAGGAAAGGAGGATGGAAGAACTGTTACCTGTAATTAGGGAAGAGATTATAGCTTTTGCAATTAGTGCTAATTAGTTACGTTAAGCTAATGAGAAGTTGGAGTGAGTATATCGTTTGTACTCGCTACAAAAGCTTTGAGGGCTTGAAAAATTGCAGAACGAAGCCTTGAGGATATAATCCTTGGGTGCCCTCGTACCACAAAGAAACCTAACATACCCAATCTCCCAATCTTTATGTACCCAATTCGAACATCTTTACCATTGTGATCATTGCTGTCTTCTTATATGTGCTATCAATCTGCTGTATGGTGTCTATTAATCTTGTTTAAATTACCAATCAAGCTGTCAATGTAATCAATCAGAGCTTTAATATAACAATGTGCTTTAATATACTTACTAATCTCTCTCATCTCATTTTTCTCTTGTAATGTATCTTTCATTTATCAATTCTGATTGAAATTACCTACTTAAAATTATCTGCTAGATTAAGGACCTGCCCGAAACGCTGCGCGTACTAGTGGCTTTACAAGAATGTAATTACTGTACTATCCAATGTATTCTCACAAACCCAATGTACCTTCTTGTATATATATAAATAAATAAATAAATAAATAAATAAATAAATAAATAATGGCTTTAGGCATTGTATGTACTAGCTCTATCTATAATTCCATCAATATTTGTAAAATCTCTTGTATGTATGTACCTTACCTAAATAAACATTTATTTATTTATTTATTTAAATTTCTTTATCAGTTCCTCACTCCTAACTCGTCCAACAAGTATTAGTTGGTGTCGATTTCATTTTGCCTCAGATCTACAAGATTTTGTTCAAGTTCTTGGTGTACTATTGCTCTCAAATTGTTTATTGACCATCCAAACGTCTCCTTTAAAAGCAGACTCATTGGCTAGCTTATCAGCTCTATCATGCATTCGGAGGCATGAGGTAAAGGTAAAATCGACACCAGTAATTCCATCTATTATCATACTGTCATGCAAGAGGAGCCACACATTTATGGATCATCCAATAAAATCAGCAGACTTCTAGATGTTACTACTGCTCGGCTTAGACTCGGTTACAAGTATCTCTGGGAATTCTCATTATCTGCCGATGTAGACCTGACCAAATGTAAACTGTGTCAACAAAATTATTCGCACACCCTCCGTCAACTATGTGATGGAGTGCGCATAATTTTGTTGACACAGTTTATATTTGGTCAGGTCTACATCAGCAGATAATGAGAATTCCTAGAGATACTTTGTAGCCGAGTCTAAGCCGAGCAGTAGTAACATCTGCCCGAAACCTGCCTGTTCCTGCCCGAAAGTAGTTCCTGCCCGAAACGCTTTGCGCAATAGTGGCTTTAGGCATTGTATGTACTAGCTCTATCTATAAATCCATCAACTTTTGTATCTCACCTTGTATGTATGCACTTTACCCGAATAAATATTTGTATTTTTTGTTTGTATCTAGAAGTCTGCTGATTTTATTGGATGAACCATAGATGTGTGGCTCCTCTTGCATGATAGTGTAGCGAGTAATCCTTATACTCGCTCCATTATCTCATTATCTTAATAGCATAACTAATTACAGAAGCTACAATCCTTTCCCCAATTACAGGTAATACTCTTCTCACCTTGTTGAAGGAAGCTGAGGTGTAATCACCATATAAGCAACGATTTGATGAATAGAAGACAGTTCAATTTCCACAGTCAACAATGTAGCACTTGGCGTGTACAGTCCTAATCGACCCAAGACGCTACAGCTTCGACACAGAGCAGACAGCAGACTATGACCACATCGAGCCGCCACGCTCTCGCTCCCCGAGTTCAGACACACAATTCTCAATCGAGCCGCCACGCTCTCCCACATAGAGCTCCGCGACTCCGGCCTCATTCAGCTCTCTGCTCTGCTCCAGGCTTCGTCTCAACGTCTACGACACTACTGTATCCAGGACTACTAAATAAATATGAAACTCACTAAACACTGTGTATCTAATCAACCCAACAACGTAACATAATCGTACGTTACAATAGTATGACGATAGTATCTATAAAGTTATCAATTTTTGTAAAAATCTCTTGTATGTATGTACCTTACCTGAATAAACATTTATTTATTTATTTATTTATTATTTATAGATGGAATTACTGGTGTCGATTTCACTTTGCCTCAGATCTACAAGATTTTGTTGAAGTTCTTGGTGTACTACTGCTCTCAGATTGTTCATTGACAATCCAAACGTCTCCTTTAAAGGCAGATTCATTGGCTAACTTATCAGCTCTATCATGCATTCGGAGGCCAATATGAGATGGAGACCTGTGAGGCTGGAACCCACTATGAACCTGAGCCCATTATGTGCTTCTGTAACCCTTTCCATTACCGCCCACAGGATGGGTATGGGGTGCATAATAAATGAACTAACCTAACTAACTAAACGCCGAAGACGTACATGCAAAAACTCTCATGAGCTTTAAAATCCAGCTTGAAAAAATCACCATAACAAATAAGGGACTTTAGATAATCCCCGGTTTCCTAGTCGAGGTCATTAGTGCTAGTAGCCCCTCAGATATATTACCATATATGTATAGTATATACCATATATATTATACCATACATATATATACCAAATATAATGTTGTTTATTATATACATCATATATATTTACATATGGTATATATAAATATGGTAGGCGGTGTGAGGGTGTGGGTGAGGGAGACACAGCAGTACATAACTTGGGTGTTGCTGTGTACGACTCTACCATACTGCTCCCAGCTAGTGCAGCGGCTGGTAAAAACGGCTTATCCCCCCATTGTTGTCCTAATGAATTAGTATATTCCCTAGCTGGCCAGGATCTTTGCGGATTATTGTCAATTAGAAGAGTGTGTCAATAGTGTGATATTGTGGTTGAAGAAGCCATGTCGTCTAGGTATCCGGAGGAGGCCCCCGCCAGCGTGCCTCGCAGAGCCTTAGGTGACCTATCCTGCCCTCGTTACCAGGACCTGGCCTGCCCTTGCCACCTCGTTAATACTTTGCCTTCTTTGCCTTGTAGTTATATATTCGTAGCGAGTATTAGTTACGGGAGTTGTCAGAACATATGGTAGTGTGTGCTCTTCTTCAGGCCTCTTGACGCCTTCCATATCAGTAAATTTTATGTTGCTGTTATATGTATAGAAAGGACATGGTATTTTTCTTCAATGAGTCTTTATACTCATACTTAGTGCTATCTTGTGATTCATGACGTACTGTAGATAAGAAGTACTTTGCATGAATAAGTTTGTGATAGTGCATGGTTAACTAATAAACAAACTAACAAGGTACAATTACGATTGAACAGTTGATGCAGGGAATGTCATTTGAATAATGGTGGTTGAATATATGCTCACCAATTCCTGACAATCTAATTTCTGTTTAAATTCACTTCTGCACAGTTTGGGTACAGGCTCTGTCTTATTTAGGTACAGAGTAGCGTGACATTATATCATAATATAAGGGTCCCGGTAGTACTGTACTGTTGGGTTCGTTCTCAACTCGCAGTTAAGAATTCAGAATTTAAATCCTGGGTGGGACAAGTGGTGGGCACATTTCGTATAACCTAATGACCCAGTTCACTTAGCAGTTCGTAGGTAACCAGGATTAGTTAAGTTTGTTGTTTGGTTGCATCCTGTGTTGTGGGGGTGGGGGCTGTCAGTAATTCGTGCTTCGAGCAGAACCTCGATGTAAGTCTATATATACACTGACTGCCTGTCCCCTGACACATTGAACTATTTTTAATTATAACCTGTGCATGATAATAATGTAAGATTATAATCTGTGCATTTTTGATAGGGGTAAAAATCTGACCATTGCTATGGAGAGTTTATGTAGAAAAGTGGCGATTGCAGTAATGAATTTATTATATATAGCATTGGAAAGCAAAATAAAATTGGCACTTTTGAAACTTGATTATGAAAATCGATGAAGAGGAAGGGATGACTTGTGTCTTATCAGAATCCAAATAAGGCAGCTTGCCGTTGGCATGTATGCATATGGGGCAGTTCCTTATGAGCTTCTTTTCAAGTTTACATTTCATTAAATTCAAGGTCACATTCACAGCTAGTGAATGAGACTAGATTTTAGAAAATGTTACTGGTTTTATGTACTGCATAAAACAAAGTACCTTATTGCATTTATTACAAACTGTGCATAGTATAGTCTTAATCACTACCTACATTTTTTTTTGCAAGTGTAATAAACCTCTTTACATATTTCTAAAAAACCTATGGTATGAATGGAAAGAGAATTATTATAAAATATTGCCACAATGCAGTTTGTAGATTCAATATTAAAGCTACAATGTCAACATCAATGTATTTTGGTTACTGATGTTTTGGCCCAGTCCAAGAACTTGGCCACTGGTGTTGGTGGTTGATCAGGTGGGTATCTCTCTTTTTTCTAGATTTCCTAGTATGAACATGTATAGTATATTTATATTATAAACCTATTCACCATATTTGTAATGTATTTATAACTTAAATACGATTACAATATTCATCTGAATTTATATTCCAGTGTTGGGGTGACCCTCTGACATGGGATTACTGTAGATGATTCCAGTTCCTTGTACATGTATCTTTCTTAGCCTGAAGTTCAGCATCATAATATTACATTACTAAAGTCATAGGTTTGATTCTCAAGCAGAATGGAGACTAGGCAAGATAGCTTATATTTGACGTCTTTGCTCGCGTAGTAGTACTGTACTGTAATTACCTAAGTGTACCATAATTACAGGATGAGCTATGCTTGTGGTGCCATGTCTTTCCAGCACTGTCATACAACGCTTTCAAACCTTTTTTTTTTTTTTTTTTTTTTTTTTTTTGCATTTTTTCAGTAGAAATGAGGTGAAGTGCCACACAGGAATAACTTTGTCTAATTATTTTAATTATTTCTTACTTTTTTATATACTGTAGTTTTTGTTCAAATAAGTAGTACAGATGTGTCAAAGGTCTCCGTGGTGTAGTGGTAAGACACTCGCCTGGCGTTCCGCGAGCGCTATGTCATGGGTTCGTATCCTGGCCGGGGAGGATTTACTGGGCGCAATTCCTTAACTGTAGCCTCTGTTTAACGCAACAGTAAAATGTGTACTTGGATGAAAAAACGATTCTTCGCGGCAGGGGATCGTATTCCAGGGACCATAGGATTAAGGACTTGCCCGAAACGCTACGCGTACTAGTGGCTGTACAAGAATGTAACAACTCTTGTATATATCTTAAAAAAAAAAAAAAAAAAAAAAAAAAAAAAAAAAAAATGGGGTTCATTAGGTATAACTTTTAAAATGCCATATAGGTATGTACATACTGAATGTGTATAAATATTCACATGCCATGTATTTATTCATACTAAATTATAACATATATATTATATAATATAAAATATATACATATATAATAGTGGAACCTCTATTAACGAGTTTAATCCGTTCTGGCACCGAGCTCGTTATCTGGAAAACTCTTCTCAAGAAACAAATTTCCCCATTTAAAATAAAGGAAATAAATTTAATCTGTTCACTCCCAAAAACATCCATACTTGTATGACATTTTTTTATGTAAATATAATACTGCACATGTAATTATGAATGTTTTGTTGTACTGTTTTAACGTTGTCTTAGTCTGTTGTACTGTTTTAATGTCTTAGTTGTGTTAGTTTAGGTTAGGTTAAGATAGGTTAGGCTAGGTTAGGCAAGGTTGGTTAGGTTCAGTCATATACTGTCATCCGGACTATATGGGAAATACCCCCAGCTGGATTATCACATTTTTCGGATAATGGTACTTTTTCACCTACGAGTCCAAAACTAACCATTTCCAACTATTTTTATACTGCAAACAACATAATTTGTTTGTAGTATATATGTAGCCACATATAATTATTAAATATTCAACTAGAAACCTCAACTTACCTTGTTGTTCGTCTTCTTGATTGATGCCACACATCTTGAAGTTAAAAATTCTTGACAATTTACGTAACTTATACTAACACAACACTAAAATTAACACTTATAATTACTGTACAGTTCATTAGGCAAAGTTAGTTTTCACTGTCAGCTGCGGAAGCCTCACTTGTTGAAAGCACTTGGGTTGCGTGTGGCGCCTCACTTGTTGAAGGCACTTGGGCTGCGTGTGGCGCCTCACTTGTTGAAGGCACTTGGGCTGCATGTGGCGCCTCACTTGAAGGCACTTGGGCTGCGTGTGGCGCCTCACTTGTTGAAGGCACTTGGGCTGCGTGTGGCGCCTCACTTGTTGAAGGCACTTGGGCTGCGTGTGGCGCCTCACTTGTTGAAGGCACTTGGGTTGCGTGTGGCGCCTCGCTTGTTGAAGGCACTTAGTTTGATTTTCGTACAATATAAGAATCAAGTGTTGCTTGCCTTCTGTGTTCACAGGCCAGTTGAATGATCAGCTCTTTTGTTTGCCTCAGGTATTGATACATGGTTTCCATCTTCTGGATGAGCACAATTTGATGAAAAATTAATTAACAAGTCAACAGAAGACATGAGTTCACTGTATTTCGTGGTCATTGGTGTTGGTTCTTCACGTCCTTTTTCATCCTCTTCGTCGATCTCACCAGTAATAGACTGGAGAATCTCGTCTTCACTCATCACACCATATCCTGGGTCATTGGCATCTTTTTCAAGCCAATCGACCACATCCTGTCTTTCTAAGTTTTCGCCAGCATTTCTAAACATTCCATGGATTTCATCTGTAAATCCTTCAAAATCCATTTCCGAATCCTCCTCATTCCTGACGTGAGGAATTTTTTCCAGGAATTTTTCAAAGTCGATTCCTTTAATTCACTCCACACCTTGGCCCAGTTATAAATTCTGAAGTTTTTTTTTTAGCCCTGTTATCCACACAGAGTTCAATATCTTCCGGAAGAGGCAAAACCACCAAAACTTCGTTTAGCATCTTTTTGGTGTACAACCTCTTCGTGACACAGATAACTCCCTGATCCATAGGCTGAATGAGAGAGGTTGTGTTAGGAGGAAGTGCCATACACGTTATCTTGCCATCTTGTGAGGTTAACGTGTCAATTTTGGGGTGGGCAGGCGCATTATCAAGCAGCAGCAAAGTCCGAACTTTGCTTGACCTTACTTTGAGTTTAACTTGATAGGCACGAACTTCCCTGCAGAACACGTCATGAAACCAGGAAAGAAAAATCTCTTGTGTAAACCATGCATTTTGTGACCTATAATATTTGACTGGCAGTCTGTCCATGCAATGTTGCAAGGCTCTTGGTTTCTTAGATTTGCCAACAATTGCACACATGATTCTGTCTGTGCCGTCGGCATTCGTACACATCATGGCAGAGAGCCTGTCCTTGCAAACCTTACGTCCTGGCACACAACCCTCACTCCTCATTGCTAGAGTTTTTTCTGGTGAACTCCTCCAATACAACCCAGTTTCATCTGCATTATAAATTTGATAAGAATATAAATTATTTGCCACAATGTATGATCTTAATTTCTGTTTAAATGGTTCTACACTGCTTTCATCTGCGCTCAATTTTTCACCGACAATTTTCCTCTTCACAATATTGTGCCTACCCTTGAACCTTGCAACCCACCCTTCACTCATTTCAAAATCCTTTATTCTAAGGCTTGCAGCAAACCTGCTTGCAGCATTTTGCATTTCTGGGCCGGGAATTGCCACGCCAGCTGTGTGGTGCTGAGCAAACCACTTGTACACGGCCTCATCCAACTGTACATGCGTCGAAGTTTTCATAGTCTTTCTACTACACCCTCTGCTAGTGCTTGCACCTTCACTTTCACAGGTTGAAATGAATTTCATAAGTTTCTCTTTTTGTTTCCTTATATCAGACACAGTACTAGTGCCTATATTAAATTCCTTGGCAACACTTGAGGTTGACCGGCCATGTTCACAAAGTTGTATAACACGTAGCTTGTCCTTAAGTGTTAGGGCAACCTTCTTCCTCTTAACACCTCCAGTACGATTCATGCTGCTACCAGACATAGTCTTGGCCAAAAATGTTCAAAGTTACTATGAAAATAACATTTATTTAAAAAAATCTTTCACTAATGGCGCAGCACTGTGGTGTAACATGAGGGTAGAGAGCACATGGTTTGATCAGGCCTGGACAGTTCCAGTCGGAGCAGGGAGGAGGCACGTTACGTAGGCCGCCAGCAGGAAAAAAACAAACTATTTTTGAAGGAAACTTCTGCCTTTGCAAATTGTTATTAGGAAACTTGTATGGTATTTATTACATAATTACTAGTATTTCTTTTGATTTTGGCTATGATGAATTGTTCTAAAATTGATGGTAATTCCTGTACTGTACTGTATAGGCTGCTCCCCATCCTCCTTATCCCCCTAGGTGGGTCCCTCCCAACGCTCCCCTTTCTCCCGTCGCTCCCCTCTCTCGAGGGGAGAGAATTAATTAAAAAATTATGCAAAAATTATGCAAAAATATTTGCATAATTTTTGGGAGGAACTTTGACTATTTGTATTAGGAAAACTAATGTTTTGGAAAATCCCCGGCATCAGATCCTTTATTATATGCTAATGTGTCAGAAAAGTGTCATAGAAATTATTTCATTTTAAACTTGTGGTTGTTATACGGATTTGAAAATGTGTAAAATTCGTTGAAAACAAAAAAATCTCCCTTTCTATTTAGGCTGCAGTACTGAAACTTGGAACAATTGCAGCCCCTTTTCATATACAACTAGTCAAAAAATATTGGTTGACATTGAACAACTTTTAAAAAAAACATTGGCCCCCTTAGGGATTTGTGCCTAGTCAATCCTCCCTGGCCAGGATACAAACCCAGGCCAAGTCGCTCACAAAGCGCAGCAACCTACAACCTACAAAACTATGTTCAAGTTATTACTTACCCTTGTTGTTGAATGCTGTAGGCGTATGGAAGATGGTGAGGAGGGGGGGAAAGAGGAGAGGTGTTACCGTTTGGAAGGGGAGTCCCCTTCCATTATAACATCAGGCAGTGAGGACCTTTCCGGTGTGCACTCCCTGGCACATTTTGCCTGAGTACCACTAGGTCCTGGTTGTGGCTCACTGCTCGATTTTCTCAACAAATCTGTTCATGGAAGCTTGTTTTTCCCTTCTCTGCAAGCTCTCTCTGTAGTAAGGCATCACATTGTCATTGAAGAGATTAACCCTTAACATGCTAGGGGTATAATATCCTTTCTTCCCCACAGGCGCATGTAATTTTGAAAAAAAAAAAAAATTATTTTTTCTTCCTAACCTGTTAATTTGTGTTCACTGATCACGGGAAAAATAATAAAAAAATCGTAAGTGGCATATATTGCCCGCTATAGGGCGGGGAAGTCTGGCAAAAAATAGGCGCTGACTCAGCGTGCGTCCCAGGCGGTCTGTTGCTCGCCAGCTGTCAGGCCGGAGTTGCCACAAAGATAATTGCTTAATTATTTCAATGTCTCTGATTGATTTTTCATAGTTTTTTTGCTGTAATATTTTTCAATAGTGTGTAGTGTGATATATTTATATACAATAAAATGAGTGAATCATTGCTGTACTCAAAAATATGGTGTGCATATTGTTGATTCAATTATGTTCATCAATCGGTGAACAAATACTTTGTTGGTTATTACACTATAAGCACAGGTTATATATAAGTATCTGCATGTTTTGTTCACTATAACAAACCACTAAGTAGCTATTATGAGTCAAAAAGTAACGAGGAGTGACCGCCGTGTACCAGCCAGCCACTCACGCCCTCCCTCAAGTCATCTGACTCGCCCACATTCTCCTCCCACAATACTGTTTTTGCTATAATTCACTATATACAGACGTTATATATAAGTATCTACATTTGTGTTCACCATAGCGAACCACTAAGTTGGTATGGTGAGTGCAGTCAATAAAAGGTGGCCACACACAGTCAGAAGACATCGCCACCACCCTCCATCCCACAGCATTACTCCTACCTCCATGGCGCACAGCGCTAAATATCACCACAATCCTGCTATTATCAAAACCCTGGTCAGTTTTATCAGTCAGGGGTCTTCTGTAATAATATCATCGCTACATAATAGCATGAACAAGTATATTTTGGCATTTTTAGGCGATGCTGTGGTCACAAGTTGAACAGCAGTGCTGTTAGCTCATGCTGTGTGCGTCAGGCTTGGTTGCTCACTCAATACTGAGGCCAATAACACCCGGGAGTTTGGCCCACGATTTTTTTTAAAAATGGCGTCTGTTTACAAGAGCCCTGATGAAGGTGTGGTGAACCCCGTGTATCCGCGGGCCGTTTAAATCTTGCGTAGTACTCCAACACGTCATATGACGTGATGCGCAGTTGACTGGAACAACTTCCAACACGTCATATGACGTGATGCGCACTTTAAGGGTTAAGGCAACGGCCTACTACAGCCTTCTCTGGGCGAGTCTTTTCGATAAAAGTTTGCATCTCTTTCCACATCTGACACACCTTAATTTCTGCAGAAGGGACATTCGCTACTGCCTCATCCTCCTCCACTGGAGAAACATCATCAGCTGGGTCGTCTTGCTGTTCCTTTTAAAGAGCTTGGCGTTCTTCGGTGGTCAGTTCTTCGTTGTGTTCTTCCACCAACTCCTCCACATCATCACCATCCAATTTCAAGCCCATTTGCCGGCCCAGAGTAACAATTTTCTCAACAATAGGCACATCATTTACAGGCTCAAACCCCTCAAAGTCTAGTTCTGTCACACATTCAGGCCACAATTTTCTCCAGCCAGAGATCAGGGTTCTTTGAGTCACTTCTTGCCAGGCTTTGTCAATGAGTTTTAAAGAACTACAAATGTTAAAATAGTCTTTCCAGAACTCTTTGAGGTTTGTGGCTTCAGTCACTTCTAAACATTTCCGGAAAAGTGCCCTTTCTTACAGTTTCTTAAAATTCGCTATGATTTTCTGGTTCATAGGCTGAATTAGAGGAGTGGTGTTAGGAGGAAGGAACTTTATTGTGAGAAATTTACTGTATCTGTGCATCAATTCATCTTCCAATCCTGGAGGATGAGCAGGAGCATTGTCGAGGAGAAGCAGGGCCTTGAGTGGCAAATGTTTCTCTTGCAGATATTTTTCTATGGCAGGGCACACCACTTCATTCACCCACTCCGAAAAGAAAATCCTAGTCGCCCATGCCTTTTTATTAGCCTTCCACATTACACACATTTGGGTTTTCTGCACTTTATACTGTTTGAAAACCCTTGGATTTTCAGAATGATACATTAGCAAGGGTTTAATTTTCAAATCGCCACTCTCATTTGAACACAGCACAAGCGTAAACCTATCTTTCATTGGCTTGTGTCCGGGCAAGGATTTTTCCTCCTTGGTAATGTAGTCCTCTTAGGCAATCTTTTCCAGAACAGTCCTGTTTCATCACAATTAAACACTTGTTTCGGTAGGTATTCCTCGGCCTCTGCAAACTCTTTAAATTCTTCAATAAATCGTTCAACGGCTGGTTTGTCTGAGCTGGCTGCCTCCCCATGCCTGGCAACACTATGGATACCACTTCTTTTTCTAAATTTTTCAAACCAGCCCCTGCTTGCCTTAAACTCTTTCGTATCTGCATCACTCGTTGCAGGTTTTCTTTACAAGGTCTTCGTGCAATACCCTGGCTTTCTCACAAATGATGGCCTCCGAAACACTATCACCCCTTAACTCCTTGTCGTGTATCCAAATTAATAACAACTTTTCCACTTCAAGTATTTGTGGTCTTTGTTTCTTCATTGTTCTTAAGCCTTTTGCCACTTTAGCTCTCATAATGTCCTTTTTCTTAAGTATAGTGCATATTGTTGACGTGGCTTTGTTGTACTGCCTACAAAGTTCAGTAACACATGTACCATTTTCATGCTTCTGAATGATCTCTTGTTTCTCCTCTATTGTCATCCTCGCCTCATTCTCCTCTATTGTCACCCCTGGCTTTCTTGGGACCCATGGTGAAATATATAATAACAACTTTTATGGTCAAATGACCAAAAATCCTACAAAACGCTGAAAATCCGGGTGAAGAATTGACGTGGAATAGCCACTGGGTGCGAGGCACTGGTAAACTGAGGGACGGAGGGGCGACGATCGCCGTACCACCATGCGCTAGGTCGGCCTGTACGCGTATCAACGAACTCTTGTTCCGAGGTAACCCTCGCCTTGTCACATTTTCCTAGCAAATCCTGCTCGTATTCCGAAAAACTCGTATTCAGGGACACTCGTATTCCGAGGTACCACTATATACATATATTATTTTATATTATAATCAATTGTTAAATTTTTATTTTTGTAATTATAATTATTTTTATTACTGTACAGTATTTGTATTTATATATTATTATTACAGTATTAATGCAGTATTGTTGTATAAAAAAGATGTCACCAATTACCAAAATTTATATTAGTGTAATTTTGATTATTATACACTTGATTGTTTCACAGCTATTCAGTGGCATATATTATATTCTAATCCATGATGTTTTCTGTTCACATAGCAATGACATGCATGACAATTGAAGACTACAGAAACACCTACTGGCCGCAGTTACAAGCGGCGGTTGACCGACTATTACAAGGACCTCCGCCTCCATACCACACTGGGCAGGTTATTGAATTTGAGCCCATGTATTCTGCAGCATACAAGTGTGTGTGTCAACAACATTCTGAAGCACTCTATAATGACCTAATGTCGCATGTTAACAAGCATTTTATCAAGGTTGCAATGGAGATGCAGGTAAAATATTCATATTTTCAGTATTATGCTGGAGGATAAATTATATTTAGTAGGCCAGTTAAATAACACAGTTACACTTGCTAGTACTGACTCGTGCACTCAGACTCTGCACTACACTATACTTACACCATACAGCATAACACAGTACTGCACCATATAACTCGAGAGCCCAGGTACAGTACACACACCAAATATAAGGAAGATGTGTCAAAATTTTGTATTTGAATCTTATTTCTTGGATATATCTGAAAATAAGTGTCGAGAGCAAGATTATTTTAATGTCAAATTATATGAATGGCTATTTTATTTTGGTTTATTTGACATTTAAATCCAATTGTTGTTCATTGTCAAGAGCCAATGAGTTTTCTACACAAAGATACATAAAAAGTGTTGAATATTATAACCCACCTCTTCTTTAGGTCTTCCCCTCAGTGGCTTCTTTACCTTACTCTCTTGGATATAAATTGTCATCCACACTCCCGTGGAAGTAAACATTCCATTTACCTGGGCTGTAGAAGCCTCGAACTGTGGACCCCACACGTGTGAGGCCGAAGCTCTATCGACTGAGCCATGAAGTCTTAATAAGGAAAGTTTATTAGTTCCTACAGCCAAGGTGAATGGAATTACTCTGGCTTTTAGGGCAGGGGAAGTTGATTCAATTCGGTGATCAAAGGATTTGGTAAGAAAAGGAGGGAGAGGAATGAGTACTAGAAATCATGAAATAGGATGAGGATGAAGTATGAGTGGGATGAAAAGTGCAGTGGCCTGTCTACTTTGGTTTGGTAGATGTTGTTGCTGTGTTGTAAATCTGTGGTGCAGATTTGTTAGTATTTTAGCTGGTCTGGCTGATGAAGACCATTGGTGTTGGCCAGCTGTAGCTGTTCTGGTTTTTGGATGTTGAAATTAGCTTCACCAAGGTGGAGCTAATCACCCTCAACCATCAGGCTTTCTACACAGCTTGATATAAAGATGTTTTTGTAGTGCATTATTATTTGTGTTTTTTGCATGAAGTGGAGATTGGGTCAGGGGAGGACCCATTTTTCTGGGTCTATTGGGAGGTTGTCAAGGATGTGGGATCTCTGGAATGGATGTCTTGTTACTTTTTGCCAAAGGGTGATTATTCGTGTTCTTATGAAGGCAGGCAATTAAACATCAAGTATTTGACAGACTTGATTCAGCGGACCCAATTTGGTAACCCACCCCCTCTCTCTCTCTCTCGCCCCAGTGCAACTGGTTGTCCCGTGGAAAATAGACAGAAATGAATGGGATGTGGAAGCCACTGTGGCTAATGTCCAGAAAAAATGCTTTTCATTATATATAACACACTATTCCTGGCCCTCCTCTTAATGGCTACCCTAGCTTGCTCAAAAAGGTGGTTCAATAGATGAACCTGCTTAACCCAAAACAACACAAAACTGTACAAAACAAACTGTAAAGAAAGAATTACTATGGGCGACAAAAATCAATACCTAGGATCCATAATGCATATAAAAACTGATATGGGTAAAAGGACCTAGTACCACTCACACCTATACCAAGGACTTGGAAGGGACAAAATGCTACCTCGGTGGTCTAATGCCCCTTCACAAAAAAATGGGAATGTCACGCTAAACATGAAACTTGACCAACAAGAATATTACAATTAATTTTGAGCTTGTGTAAACAAAAAGCAGCTGTGCCAGTTTATCCCTTCAACTGCGCATATCAACCAGGGTTGTTTCATTGGTGATGAACACATCAATCGGGGGTAATTTCAGGTGTAGCATAAGATTTAAAGCTACCATGGGTATATGAGGCTCGAATCCACTTCCTGAGGCCTCCAGTAAATAGATGCCATATCAAAAATTGTGGGTACCCCTTCTGGGTGAGAGGGCTCAGTACTGAGATAAGAGACCATGTATAGCACATGAAGCAGCTCGCAGTATTGCCATGTAGCACATGCTCACATCATTATTGAATAATGATGAAGCCATAATTACTGTAACAGTAATTATTTAGCAATGATAGTGTCATAGATGATCCTGACTGCTACTAAGACTTTGTACAAGGTTCAGATATCTGTGAATCCAATGCTGGTTATGATCGCAAATTGTGGCATGCAGTAACAGTACACAACCGTGGTTTGGCACTCGACTAGTTGTACCCACCTAGTTGTGCTTGCAGGGATTGAGCTTCTGTTCTTTTGACCCACCTCTCAACCATTAATCAGCTGGGGTACAGGTTCCTGAGCCTATTGGGCTCTATCATATCTATATTTGAAACTGTGAATGGAGTCTGCTTCCACCACATAACCTTCTTGTGCATTCCATTTATCTACTATAACACTGAAAAAATTATTTTATGAGGCTCTGTGGCTCATTTGAGTACAAAGTTTCCACCTGTGTCCCCTTGTTTGTTCCACCCATGCTAAATAGTTTGTCTTTATCCAACCCCCTGTCAATTCCTTTTTGAGAATTTTGTAGGTGGCGATTCTCTCTCGTAACTGGTGCCTTCCTTGAAAATTCTAGAATGTACTGGAAATCCAGTCTTATATCGGAACTGAAAACTGGCGAGAAACCCGCTTGAGAAACACGGTCCGTCGACCACGTCCAAATGAACCCACTCCGAGATGACCTGACATGGATGGGGAAGAGGCCTGCCCCACCAGACCTGACCCCCCCCCCCCCGGTCGAAGAAACGACCTGAAAAAGCCGACTAAGTATGGGATGAGGTGTGGGCAAAAAGAGCCAGGCCCCCCCCCCTTCCCCCCAATTGCTCTCCATGCAGAGCAAACACAGTGCTGACCAGATGAAGTTCTGGTCAGGGACGCTACCGACAAAGAAACTGGCACCACAGTCCTACCACACTTTATTATATGAATATACGTGCAAGACGCATTTCAGCATCCACAATTAAAATATTTGGTAAAAATCTGGTTTTCATTTGATTTTCTGGAGAGCCCCATCAGCTCCCCGGAGCTATCCCAGGCTGATATGCTAATGTCAGACTTTGGCTTCAGTCATGTGTATGGAGTTCTTAAGCCTACTGGGGACCACGGCCAGAACTGGGCCCCCTCAGAGAGGCAAGGGGAGCGATGGCCTATAGAAGCCCCCATATGGTTGGAAGCATTCCATGTCTGCCATCGACCGGAACAGGCACCCAGAAAGGTAAGTGCCTCAAAACAAACCCCTATTCTGGTTAAAATTGCTACCAAAAGCCGAACTAGTGGATAGAACTCCCCAAAAGAAAACAAGCAAACTAGTGTGACGTCACACGCCACCGCGCCGCTGTCTGCGCAGCTCCCCCCTTCCCGGGAGGGGGAAGGGGCAGCCCCAGACCCTCCACGCCGGCTACCCACACCTCAGTTCTTGAGGCTGATGCAATAGGCGAAGGTCGTGTGCTCTGGCTCCGGTGTCGGCGGGGTTCTGGGTCTCGTAAGGGTCGCGGCCCTTTCGTGGTTTGCCCCATTGACGGGGCGATGGGGGGCGGCTTGCACTGTTCGCCCGCGCCTGGTCCCACGATTCGTGAGCCTTTCGGGTCGTGTCTTGTGGCCTATGGTGGCGTTGGGTGGCCCCTCCCCCCTTGGGGGGGGGGGTCGGGGCTGGCAGGGCAGGTTTCTTTCCCTGCGCTCTGTCGAGTCGTCTTGGAGTGGGTACGCTTGGGCGTCGTCGAAATGACGTAGTCCCTCAGATGGGTTTCCCGTCTGTTTCCGGTTCCGAAAAGGGACTACGCGGTCCTGCAGTTCATTCTGGACTTGTCCCGTCTGAAGTCCTGGGTTCATTGCCCCTCCTTTCGGATGACTACGCTGTCTCAGGTTCGGCTCCTCTTGGAGCCGGGCGCTTGGATGGTGTCCCTGGACCTTCGGGACGCTTATTGGCATGTCCCGATTCATCCATGGTTCAGGAACTGGCTCGGTTTTGTTGTGGGGCGTCTGAGTTAACGCTTTCGTTGTCTCCCGTTCGGGTTGAACCTGGCACCTCGCGTGTTCACTCGCCTTACATGGGTTGTGGTGGCTCGTTTGCGTCTCCTAGGTGTTCGGGTGTTGGCCTACCTCGACAACTGGCTGGTTTGGGCTCCCAGCCGGTCAGCTTGCTTGCTAGCCAGGGATTTGGTTCTTTCCCAGCTCTTCGGGTTCTTGGTGAACTGGAGGAAGTCCCATCTGGTTCCCTCTCAGGTTCAAACTTGGCTGGGTCTCGTTTGGGACTCTCGAACCGCCTCCTTGTCTCTCCCTCCGGAGTCTCCTGCGGCTGCGGTCCTGCCTTTGTCTGTTTCTGGTGGGCCCTCGGGTCACCCGGCGGTTGCTCGAAAGGCTGTGCGGGAGCCTGAACTTCGCGATGGTGGTCTACCCGCCGGGTTGGGTTTGGCTTCATCGGCTGTTCTGGTTCCTTCGGGGTCCCCCCTTCCGCCTCTCTCGCAATCGCAGAGTTCGACCCCCGGGGGCCTTGCGTCGGTTGCTGCGTCACCGGCTTCCTCTTCGGGTTTTTCGGGGTTCAGTGCCTTGGCGCCTACCCAAGCCCTCGCTCGATGTGTACACAGATGCGACGTCTCTCGGCTGGGGTTTTGTGACCAGTACTCACTAGGCCGGCCAGGGGCGTTGGGATCCGTCCTTCCGTCGAGTTCACAGCATGGTGCGGGAGTTCGCGGCAGTGTTATTTGCTCTGGGGAGGATTCGGGTGGCCCCCGGATTGACGATTCGGCTCCATTCGGACTGATCTCCCGTGGTTCATTGCCTGAACCGCGGGAGTTCGATGTGGTCCTTGTCTCTTTGGGGTTGGTCGCTTCAGGTGACTCGTCTGCTGAGTTCTCGGGGTTTGACTCTCCTGGCGGTTCACGTACGGGGCGTGTCCAACGTCTTGGCCGACGCCCTGTCTCGCTTCGTTCCCCTCTCCACGGAGTGGACGGTCGACGACGAGTCCTTCCGTTGGCTTTGCCAGACATTCGGGCGCCCCAAAGTGGACCTCTTCGCGTCGGCGTGGTCGCGGCGTCTTCCCGTTTATGCGGCACCCTTCCTCGATCGCGAG